CAAGCCTGCCTGCAAAGCAAAACTCACAGCAGGCAAACACTTGTGCCGGTGCAATGGTGTACCAAGAAAGGCGCGCGACGCAGGAGTGCCAAATTCTTTGCGTGATTCACTTCATGAATTACCACGCGCAATCATTCAGACGGTAAAATGTATATTGCAGTACCTCGAGATGGAAAGTAACACCTCTTTTAACGTTGTTGAGATTATAACGTTCTTATGTCACAGCCACATTTAATTATTTTTAAGAACTATAAATCTGAGGTTGAGAAGAACTTGACATCAAAGACAGAAACCCCGATACATATCTGAAACTCGCAGCGTCTAGCACCAAAAGCAGCTGCCCCCTAATCCGACCCATTTGTGCCGACGCCCAGCCATGCCTCCAAAGAAGCGCCCATCCTTTGCAGAACATCAGCGAAACCCCACCAAGGTCATGCGAGCAGACGCTGGCCCAATGGGCATTGTGATCTGCGTTCGCCGCTGGGGCAGCGGCTTCTATGGGTTCGAAGGCGGGCAGCGGACAACGCATGCAAATACACACACACGATACTTGTGCATATATATATATATAGATATGTAGATATATATATATATAGACGAATAATATGTATGTATACATATAGGATTAACAAAAAAGTAAGCGCAAACTTTAGATCTTATTCTATATGCAGGGAGCAGATTGGCTGCATTTGCTCGAAAAGTTTGGCCCCCTATGGACTCAACTAAAGAGATTTGACATGCTGCTGTTGATACCAGGTGGAAAAGGTGCAACAGCGACAGTCCCTCTCTGGCAACTGCAGTTTGCTGGTCAAGACCATCGATGGCTAACTTTCAAGATGTTGCCCACCATCCGCGAGTACTTGAAGGAGCAAGCAGACGCAACAATGCACACCACCCAGGACTTGGAGAGCAACCACTGCATTCGATTGATTTCGGGGATGCCTCCTTTGGAATCTGACCCCGACCCAGATGAAGTTGGCATTGTGCCCTGGCGGGCGGTGATCTATTGCGCAGGTACCTCCCCAGAGCCAGCTTTGGATTTCATCAGGCAAGTGCTTGAGTGGCAGATCCAACGCAGGCAACTTTTGCAGATGCCGCCGCTTTTGGTCTTCGTGCACGAAAAGCTCGACTTCGAGTTGCCTCTTCCATGGGCCCCATGTGCTCCTACTGCAATTCAGCCACCCAATCCCTTTGCAGTGCCACCCCCTCGTGGTCGCAGGCATGTCCTCTGCCAGCTCGAGCTCGAGAAGAACCACCATCCAATTGAAGGTGACGGTGAGAGCCAGGGTGAGGGCGAAGACGGATCGATTCACCCAAAGTACTTGCTCACAATTTTTGGTGGCATCTTTGCGTTCCGTGAGCGGTTCGACCAGCAACAGATTGCCGGGGAACGCGTTGACACGGAAGTGAAGGGCAAGGTCAATTATGTCCGCTACCTTGAAGGCTTGAGCGTGGATGACCCAAGCTCAACTGAGAGACTTCAAAGCCTTCTGAACGATGTCCTTGCAAAAGTGCCAGTGTATTTCATCAACCGTGTGGGCGCAGAAGACCCAATGGCAAAATGGTTGTTGGCACAGAAAACTGTCATCTACAGCGAAATTCTCGTAGACGATGAGTGAATACAGGACCAGAACCACGCGGCACCGTTTGGACAGTGAGTGCCATTTGTGGGCGTTTCATCATCAACTGCATGGATGCGCAAACCAATATGCATGACCTAAAAAAAGGCGTTCGCGCAGTGCACAACATCGGCAGAAGTAAAGTTAAAGCAAAAAATGAAGCGGCTGAAGCTTTATTTCTTCTTTCTCCGTTTCACGCCTCTGAAGCTGAAGCGATGCCTGCCTGTAGAAAGCACTTGACATCATTCTTCTTGATGGCTTTTCTTGCAAAAGCCCAAATTCCACATCTAGCATAATTACTACTAACCTTCCTTGCCAATTCATGATGCTTGATTTCATGACAGTGACAAATTCAGAGAAGCTCGCATCCGGAGTGAGCATAAACAAGATTCTGTTCCGCATTTGCCAGCCGTGGTAGCCCAAGCTTTTTGGACATTATTAGTCGATCGTCGACATGAACGTGCCCGTCACGATGTATGCAATGGTTCCCGTGCGCGCTGTACCTTGCCAACTGGTGCTTTTGATGGCAGAAGCACCTGCTTTTTCAGCCTCCATCGCTCCTCTTACGTTCTCGCTGCCGCAGAGGTTGACCTTGCGTTTTCACTTGGCAACATCTGGCGCCGAGCTGGGAAACCTGGATGTTGCTTTGCCATGGAATTTCAATGCTGAAGAGGTGGCAAAGTCTTTGGACACTTGCTTGCTTGGACTGTCCGTGATGAATGGACTTTCCATGCCACTGTTCCAATACTTGTCCCCCACCGCGAGGGAAGCGCAAGCAGAACACTCATACCTCCCCCTGACTTCATTGGCGCTCGAAGAGCCAGTCTTCAGCACAGAGCAGGTCGATGAGTTGGAATTGCTGCTGGTGGCGACGCGGCCTTTACTGGTCAATCTTCGAGGCCTTCACGTCGGGGAGCGACCAGCTGGCTGGAGGCGGTGGTCCAAAGAATTCCACCAGTTTGTGCAAGACCTTCCTCTTCCAGAGTTGCGCCTCCAAACCGTGCCGTCCTATGGCATCAAGAATCGCCAGCAATGCTTTGGAAAAGCCGATTTTCGACGCTTGGCGCCTATCATACTCCAAGCTTTCGCTGGCGCGTGCCGAATGAGAATCGCAGGACCGATTCGGGCGGCAGCGGAAAGAGGTAGACCTTTCGCTTGGGGAGGGCCTGCAGCTGGACGCCGGTACAGAACATGGAAAGGCTGCCAGCACGCCCTTGCATTGCTGACCGGCCAGAAAGCCAATGAGGTACAGAAGTTCATCAACGCCTGGCTGCAAGCAATGGAAGACGCCCTAGTGGAAGTCGAGCAGCAAATTGCCGAGGAGCCCTTCAAGACCTTTTTCAAGTGAGACGAGCATGAACCTTAGGTTCCTTGGAGCACGGCATCGCCGTCCAGCAGAAAAGGAAACACTTTACGGCAGCTTTCAGCGATTGATGTTGTTGTTGTTGCTTTTGGAATGGAAACTTAAAAGACTTAGCGCGTAGTTGGTCAACGTTTCCGTTTCTATTGCGCCATGCTGACAGTTAATGGTTGCGCTTTTCACAGCTGTGCTTGTATTGATCCGTGCCTTTGCTTTTTCGGTTGTCAGTCATTTCCCATTCACATTCTCTCAATAAGCTCAAGTGCTCAGCCTTTCAAAGCTCAAGCAAGCCCGCTGGGTTCA